CGGGAGCGTGAACGAAGCACCCGTGTGGAAGCTTCTGGAGACCTGTCACGCAAGGCGTTCGGTTTTCGGTTCAGTGTGTTGTTCGCTGGTGCGTTGATTATCGGTCCACTTTTCGGGATCGGCCCCTAGTATCATGCACCCAATGAGACAAGTGGAACGTGGACGGGACAGCACCTTATTGGCTGGGGCTGCCCAGCTTGGGCGGGCGGTAGCTGTTCAATGAAGTGCGAAGACTTCTCCCACCGTCGAGAGGAAGCCCTGGGTACTCCGGTCCCACGTCCATATACCAGGGTTTTTTGACTAGTAAACTGCCCCTCGCCGTGTTTATTTACTGGAGTGACCTCTCCAGGGGCGGGTGTGGTTAGAAAAGGAATCCAGGTGCCCAAGCAGCTGGCCTTGTTAGACTGATCTTCGTCTGGCCTCTACCCGTTGACCTTTCAGGCATGATTGGATCTGCGGTTGAGGAGCAAGCTTGTATAGCTCGCAGGGTCATTGAGGCGCGCAAACCATCAGACCACGCCAAGGTGCAGTCTCGTCGTGATGATTAGCTGATCCAATCTCACCTTAACTAGAGGAGCACTGTGGCTGTGAGTTTTCCACATGTGCAGGTACATCTGCCTCGGGACAGAGATCTCGGATGATGTTTCCTCGCGCATACCAAAAACCTAAGCGTTGTTTGCTAAGTTAAGACATCTACAGCGGCGTCCTGACATCCAGTTCACCGCGAAGAGCCGAGTGTATGTTGAAACAGTTGGTTCGGTGCTGCTGTACGACGCATAGACTTGACTGTTATGGGAAGCGGATAAAGATGGACTATGGGTGTTCAAACAAGGTGGTCTAGACCACATTGCACTAGTCTGGTGGGTCAACCGGACAAGCAAAGCGGAGGCTTAGCGAGAGTTCCAATTAGGCAAGTGTTCGACCTCCATAGACGGCACTGGTGTGAGCTACACGGAATAAGTATCATGACGAGATGATTGCTGAGATGGGTGAAAGAAGGTGACATTGGTGGTGGCGCAATGGTATAGTTGCTATCACTGGCGTGCTTTGGACCCTATTGTCCGAGGTTTCGAGCCCTGCCACCGCCACCCGACTTTGATGTTAGTCAGCTTTGCTGTCGGCCGGTCCAATACCACGCATAAACTGTCGGGGCCTTATGTGGTTCGCCACTCCAAGTCCCGGGGCTTAGGTTGTCGGTTTCCACCAGTGAACAACAGGTCTTCGTGACTATGGGATCGCTCCATCTGCTGTTCATCACACTTGAGTGTGTAATAAAAAAGGGCATCAAGTTAAAACTTGGTATGAGGGTATGAAACTGTAACTAGGTCACTTGGATATGTAGAGCGCGTTAGGCTACCTGATTAGGGGTAATGGGGATCAATGGTGTGACTAAGTGTGGTACTTGTGCGTCTAGTCAACTTTTTAACCCTGGTCCACTCAAATTCTCTATCTTCACGTTGACCCTGCTCCCACAAGTTTTATCTCTTTCTTCTTTCATCCAAATGAGCTGTCCAAACACATAAACCAATATCACAGCACGAAACTGCCAGGATTTTGGTTGTATAACCGAAGTTTGCAATAGGATAACTCCCATTAGTCCGGATTCCCCTCCTTTCTTAGAGTAGTCAGAAAAAGTTCATCGGGAGTGGAAAGCTTCCCGCTTGTCCAATCGTTTAATGATACAGATGATAGAGACTGTTGATCCTATCGAAATTCAGCTTGTACGGCAATATCAATTCGAACAACTGGCTCGTTGTTTCTGTATGTTGTCGGATGTTGGGTATGCTACTGTAAAGCCTGGAATATGCCCTGAGTAAAATCCAAGTTTATGTTGTTATAAGCGGTCTTGATCTATCCCAGATTCACGTTATCTTCGGGCGGTGGTGTACCGGTAATAACGTTACCAAATTATCACCCCGGAGGACGTTTGTATTCGATTCCCATCACCATCGTCTGACTTTCTCCGTTGTGTGTTGAATTGCAACCGCTTGATTGGCTGCTTCCTCCTATCTGAAAATCATATCATTATGTTTTCGACTAAAGGAAGTCAGAAGTGAAAGCGAAAAAAATGAAATGAATCTACAATCTAATTTTTCTCCTTGAGTTGATTGCGGTCAGACTGACTTTCGGAGATTCGGAGACTCTTTCCATTGCTGTCGTGATGACCCACGTGCACATTATGTTCGTGCACTTTTGTGTCTTTGTGTTCTCATGAGGTCCTTGTGCCTTCATTTGTCTATCAATTTTCCCCTGTTTTGTATGTGCCGTTTGCAGAAGGAGACAGTCTCATCCGCAGCTTCTGGTTCAGCCTCATCTTCAACCGCAACCTCTGCTTCCATTCCAACCTCTGTCCGGATACGACCAGCCACATTAATCGCAGAGCCCTCGCTTGGGAGTTCACCTATGGAATCCGGTGCTCAGTCCATCACTCTGATCAGCTCGCTCAGTAGCGCCGCTACTCTGGTCGCTTCTAATCAGCATTCTTCAACAGCCCCACCCATCACGACCAGTACTGGGACTAGCGGTACGCTGACAGCTGATCCGAACGCGTCGCGGATAAACAAACGAACTCGAGTGGCCTTTTTCAACATTTTTGATGCTACCAGTCCCAGCTCGATGTCAACCTCAAAGAGTTCACCCGCTGTGAATAATGGTTCTGTTCGTGCGGGCTCTCTAACCGGCACAACCTCAGTCAGCGCATCCCTGTCACAGACTACAGTATTTACTGCATCCCCTGTGTCGACGGTTCCATCCACTGGAAAGCCTGTGACAACGACCAGCGGTGCAATTGACCTCACTGGTGAGTGTCCTGCTGACCTCGCAACTACTTTGAAGTCAACTTGTGCTCAGTCATACAAGTATCGCAGTCTCATTTAAGTGGCTTTGTCTGGTGTTTCTTTGTAAGACATGCTTGTGGTTGATTCGAGTAGGTTATATCAGAGAATGTAAAGATAGTCTTTTATAGGAATAGTCACCTCTACTGTGCATTCGGTCATTCCAAACATGATGAGTTCTTATTAGAGGCAAGCGATTGGTCTGTTGCGTGCTTCCTGTTGTCTTTCCGAAGTCGCTATGAATGAATCATTTTTTTCCTGATCAGGTATTATTCCATCCCGTTTACGCTTAGAAGTGAGAACGTTCAAGGAGAGACGAAACAGGTCAACCGATCTGATTGTTTCTGACCCCATTTTCAGCCCCCAAAACAGTCTCAGGTCTGACTGTACTACTTGTGGACTTGCTTATACTGCACTGAATGTTCATGGCATGTTTTAGGATTGTATTGTAAGTAAATGACGAGGCTTTGTATCAATGAGATCAATGCACTTGGGTTGAGCAAAAAGTTTCCAGATACACGGGGTGCAGATGACCGGGCAAGGAAAACCTGAACAGTGTGATTGCTCTATCGTTTACCATCGGCTCATCCCTCTCACCCGTGACCTTAAACAGGTAAATTCCCTCTGACCCTTTCCGTGATCATATTTGCGATCTGCGGCGGGATTTTAAATCCCTCACCCCAACATGAGACCGACTTGTACGTTTTGTAATGCTCTTGTTACGTTTAGTCCAACGGTGTACTGATGGCACTCCTGCTGCACAGTCAAAGTTCACTGGGCCTGCCTGAGACTCACTCGGGTTAGCTGGCTGTAAACAAGATGTGGCTTATCGCTCGGGTTAGCTGGGCAAGCACCAAATCCCTTGTTACGGCTGAACCATTCGACCGATCGATAAATGAACCCAATCAGTCGTGTGATTTTCGGGCTGGCACAGGAGGAGCATAGGTTCCGAATCCGATTTTGCCTAAGTGTTGTGAGAGAATCACCACAAGAGAATCAGTTGTGGAGAGGAGTACCATGTGGGAAATTCGGAATGGAAAATGCTCAAGCGATGATGACACTGGGCCAACGCTTGACTTGCTCGTCTAAGATACACGCACTATTTTTCGAAGCGGGTTCGGTAAGCAGATAATCATAATAAAACTTTGAACTTGTCTTAATAACGGACAACAATATTTGCAAACATTTGCTCGCAATGGCTCTCACCCCCTCGCAGCAGTTTAACGGCGAACCGAGTCGACCACAGTGAGAACAAGGGACGAAAATGATTGGTGGAGAAGACACATAAACGAACGGATACAAGCAGAAGACTGCCACTTCACAAGCACTG